ATACTCTGATGGATGCATTGGAGAGCAACATGGGTTTAGCATCTTGCCCAAGGATACTTGGCATGCAGACTGGAGCAGACTAGGATTGAACCACCAACCTTCCAGTTAGTTGGTGACCTGTTACAGCCACCCTGTAACATATGATACAATCGGGTGAGGGCTCCAGCTTGCACTGGAATGGTTCGCAGCCGAGTGTGAAGCAGCACCTCCAAATCTGAGGCCATGGTTCTCAGCCGGAAAAGGGTGGAGTGCCCACTCCGGGTCGGGGATGAGTTCCTGCCCCAAGTGGAGGAGTTCAAGTATCTCGGGGTCTTGTTCGCGAGTGATGGGAGAAGGGAGCTGGAGATCGATAGACGGATTGGGGCTGCAGCTGCAGTAATGCAGACTCTGCACCGGTCCGTCGTGGTGAAGAGGGAGCTGAGTGTAAAAGCGAAGCTCTGAATTTACCGGTCGATCTACGTCCCTACCCTCACCTATGGCCACGAGCTGTGGGTAGTGACCGAAAGAACGAGATCGCGGATACAAGCGGCAGAAATGAGCTTCCTCCGAAGGGTGGCTGGCCTCTCCCTTAGAGATAGGGTGAGAAGTTCGGCCATCCGGGAGGGGCTCAGAGTAGAGCAGCTGCTCCTCCACATTGAAAGGAGCTAGCTGAGGTGGTTCGGGCATCTGACAAGGATGTCTCCTGGGCGCCTCCTGGGTGAGGTGTTTCAGGCATGTCCCACCGGGAGGAGGCCCCAGGGCAGACCCAGGACACGCTGGAGAGATTATATCTCTCGGCTGGCCTGGGAACGCCTTGGTATTCCCCCGGATAAGCTGGAGGAGGTGGCTGGGGAGAGGGAGGGAGGTCTGGGCCTCTTTGCTTAGGCTGCTGCCCCCGCGACCCGGCCCCGGATAAAGCGGATGAAGATGGATGGATGGATAGTGGCACAGATATGCCATGTGTTGTTGTTTATCTCAGGTTACATTTGAATGAACATTATGCATAAGTTTCTATGGTCTCACATCTGTCCACTTCTAGGTGCTACCAGCTAAATCTAAGCTTAATCACTCCAACTCTCCCACACTGTCAAACTGTGCCATCACTGGTCTTGTCCAGTCACCTTCTCCAGGCCAATCAGCATTCATGCTTCATACAATAAATTTCATTGCACATCGCCTCTGTCAGTGCGCCCCAGGGCAGCTGTGGCTACAATGTAGCTTGCCATCGCCTGTGTGTGAATGTGTGTGTGAATGGGTGAATGACTGAATGTAGTGTGAAGCGCTTTGGGGTCCTTAGGGACTAGAAAAGCGCTGGCCATGCAGGCCATTTACCATTTACCATATCTGTCATTCTCCTTTGCAAATGCCTTTGCATAACCCACCCCCCCTGCATCTCTAACACTCAAGCACCCAAGCTCCATTCGAGCCACCTTCTTCACCTCTACAATCAGAGTCTAGGCTCTGATACAGACTGAGCAGCATTATTCTGAAAATTTTCACAATTTGTACATGCAGTTTTTTGCAGGTTAGTGAACCTCTGCCCATTTTTACATGTAAGAAACTCTACATGTTCTTTTTATTTCTTATTACAGACCTGTTGCCAATGAAACTTAGCTGCAAAACTTCCTCCAATTTGCTTTACTCTTGCCCTGTCCCAACATTTTTGAGAAACATTTCTGGCATCAAATTCATAAGAAAAATATATTCTTATATGCTTGATTTGTTTTCTGTTTTATATTGTGTGATTTTTACAAATCACTGCATTCTGTTTTTATTTTGAATTAATTCAGATTTTATAATAAAGAATAATATAGCAGAAACATTTTTGCCTGGCTAAAATAGTTTCTTCTTTTTTCTTTCCTAACTGATCATACTAACATCAGAACATGCATGGGTGAAAAACATGAAGACACTATACAGGTGTCAATAGAGAATTGTATTTGTTCAGTCAGTATAAGCTTTTAATGATATAAGTTTATTTGTGATAGAATGCTGCATGATGATCTTTTCATTGCTCAGAACTGATTGTTCTTTATGAAACGTGTTCTGATATTTGTATCTGAATCTATCCACAGCGATAGTAAGAAGTTGAACAAGCAGTTCTGACCTTGTGCACACACACACACACACACACACACACACACACCACACACACACACACACAATCACATATGCACATGCTCATGTCACTGAACGAATGTATTAATTCCTGTTGTATAAATAAAGAAAGCAGACGGTGACAGAGTGCAAGTCCGTGAGTGTCTCTTACGTGTAGGAGCGCTCTGTCACTTGTCCTCGCAAGTAAAGACAACTGCAGTGTTTGTGTTTTCTAACTCAAGTGTCTCAGCTGAAGAATTGCGGGGTGATTTTAAGAAATCCCCTGTCAACAGGAAATGCAGAGTTTCTACCTCAGGTAGTGTTTAGAAATAAAATTAAGTCAGCATTAACATAGCATAAACATTTTATGAGTGGGTGAGAAGGTGGTTAGCACTGTTGCCTCACACCTGGTTCAAATCCAGGCTTCAGTCTCTCTGCATGCTGGAGCTGTGTCTGTGTGCGCTCTCTCTGAGTACTCTATCTCACAAAGACATGGGTTTGGTCAACTGATGAAATTAAGCATAGGCATTATGTATTATGCCTTAATCAAGATATGTCAGAAGTACAATGTGTCTGTGAAGGTTCTCAGTCATCCAGGTCATCGTAGTCAAAGGAGCTTGCAAAGAAAAGCGTCTGGACTTCTTTAAGTTGCTTGAAGACGTTTCACCTCTCATCCGAGAAGCTTCTTCAGTTCTAAGGTCAAATGGTGGAGAGTCCCAGATATAAACCTAGTGGGAGTAACCCCCCACAGAGGGACAAAAGGACCCCCTGATGATCCTCTAATCGCCTGAGCCAAGGTGTGAAACTGGGTGTGGGTCCCAATCAGCCAGAGTTTCGGGTGTGTTCATTGTGAAACCTGGCCCCACCTTATCATGCGAATTCCTGAGTCAGATGGCCCAGGAAGTGAGTGAGCGTTAAGGCGTCTGGGAAGGGATCTTCATTTACGACACCAACTCTCTGCATCTATAATCCAGTTTTGAATCCCTTCCCAGACGTGAGTGGGCGTTAAGGCGTCTGGGAAGGATCTCAAAACTGGATTATAGATGGCAGAGAGTTGGTGTCGTAAATGCGAGATCCCTTCCCAGACGCCTTTGACTCAGAAGTACAATATTTTCCTTTTTTGCACTTAAAACATCACTGTAGTATGGCTAGTGCATATATAGTGCAAGATTCACAAATACACAACAGTGGCAGTAAAGATTAGATGTTTATAGTTTTACTGCTGTTTACATTCACTGCCACTACCTTGGATGGGACCTTGAAACTTGAAAATGGATATGCAGAAGAAATGAATGGCTCGAGAAATCTGATGATTGCATCATGCATTTGGTTGGATCTGTGCGATGACTTACATTACATATGTAAGACACAGTTGAATGATGGCTCTTCATATTCTTTTGTAACACAACATGTACCTATTAAGAGCTAGTAGGTTTGAAAAATATAATATTTTTACTCTTGCTTACTGACAAACCATAATTACCTGTGACAGTCAGAGTAACTCCAGGAAAATCAAACTGTTTCACTTCTTCATTTTCTGTTGTGATGGTGAACCTGTATTCTGCTGAGTCATCTCTCTTCAGCTTCTTTAATCTGAGGATGTGTTGGTTCTTCGTGCTGTTATCATACTCCACATGATCTGCATCCTCAGTCAGGTTCCTCCTGATGTCCTCCTCAGCATTTCTCTTGACTTTATACCAACATTTAGACTGTATCTGCTGGTAGTCAGGATGTGAGTATTTACTGGAGATGTTGACTGAAGATCCTTCCAGAGCACAGATTCTGCTGTGGACATAATTCAAACTCCAGCAGGAATCATCATTAACACCTGAAATATCGATAAGACACAGATATTTTAACTGAATTTGTCAAATCAGTTTATTTATATTATATATTTAAACATAACAGATGTTGTGGGTCGGCTAACAACTGACAACAAAGTACAACGCAACAACTAAAAAGTACTTTAAATTACTGTAATAATTAGTGATAAAAATACAAAATCAACTAAATAATTTATAAGAATAAAATAATAACATTAAAAATATATAAATCAGGAAAAGAAATATATTCAGGAAAATGAGAGACTGAGTTACTCTTGGCTGAGACTGAAAAAGCTGAGCAGAAGTCAGGAGATGAATACTGTTAGTATCATAGATGAGCAGATCTGAAGAGGGAGATGAGTCCAGAGTTTTGGATCTGCAGCTGAGAATTGTGATGTGATCACCAACATTTACAAAATAATTTATCACTCATTAATGATCAAGAAACTGACCTAGTTTCAGTCATTGTGGAAATGTACAGTTTATGAGGTTGGGGAAAACTGCAGTGAGCTGAGACTCAAGAAGTCACTTAGATGAATGACGAAACGTTTCTCCTACTGAAAATGCTATGTCCAGATGAACAGAATGAACCGTTTTGGATTTACTAGTGTGATGACTAATAGACTTAGTATTAATTGCAAGAAGGGGTGATAATATTTTGAGAAACAAAAGCTTTAGCTCTTTGAAAGTTGAGAGACAGTAAGTTTACTCACAGACGTCAGCAGAGCGCACATCCTCAAGACCTTTTACAGCACAAGACAAACTGTCTGGATGAGAGATGGAAAACTGAATTTGTTTTCCCTCCTGCACTGTAGGCTTTCTGGTCTCATACCACACAAAGGAAATCAGAGGGTCAGTGAGAAAACAGCTGCTGTTACAGGTCATTCTGATGTGACCTCTGTGTTCAGCAGGAGTCCTCTGGACATGAATTTCTGTTGGGAGATGATGAACACATTTTCCACCAGTTCATCTCTGTCATGTCAAATAAATTAAGAAATAAAAATGAAATTTCAAAGTGCAGTTTGTCCAGAACTTCACCTCTGGGATATGTGATGGAGCAGGACTCGTCCACTGATGTCTGCTGAGAAGAACACATTCTCCCTTTAGCATAGGTCACACTGAAGCAGGTCTCTGTGATGGAACCTGAGAAAAACCAACAACTTTCCGTAAATTCATTAGAGTCTGAAGAGTAAAGTGTTTGTGTTTAACATCTCATAACATGATGAGGAGGCGTCCATCATGACTCACCCACAGAGACTTCAGGGGCTCTGAGATGCTCGTAGCCTTTGACAGCACAGGAGTATGTGACTGCTTCCTCACTGCTGAGCAGCTCTTGGTACCAGGGAGACCAGTCCTCATAGAGAAACTCTCTGTTCTTGTACCAGATGTAGGCTGCAGGCTTTTCAGTCAGAGGACAGCTGCTGCTGCACATCAGTGTTACTGTCTGTCCCTCTGTGGCAGGAATCACCTTTACCTGCAGCTCTGAGAGGTCACATGACCAACATGAATACACTGATCATTCATAAACTCATTCATTTATGATGCATTTGTAAAAAGAACTGTACCTGTAACATGGAGATGAATTCCACATTGTTGGCACTTTGATCTGTCAGCAGTTTTAATGCAGTAAAAATTTGCATCTCTCTCTGTCAGATTATTGATTGTTAGAGTGAAATTACTCTCTGCTGACATGCTGTACTTTACATGTGTTTCCTCTACTGAGAACTTTATCTTGGAGACAGTATCGTGTCCAGTGTACCAGCCATTTCTTGCAGTGGGATGTTGATGTGAGCAGGGCAGATTCACTGATGAACCTTTCAAGGCACAGATGCTGTTTGGTTTTCCCTGAACACCTTTAACACAACATGTGATTAGAAAACATGGTGAACATTTATGCTAACTTTCTTTTCTGTGCTAATCTGTGATGACAGCATGTTACTGTAAAGGATCACAATCTGGTGCTTTGATACACTTAACAGTTCAGAACTTCAAAACAAGAAAAAATCATGTTAACAGTAAATCTCTTAAGTGAGGTTTTTTTAGGAAATTCACTTTAATTTAACTTCTGAGAAAAACTTGTAACTTTCTGCATCTTTTTCTAGATTCCAGAAACATCATCACAGTCATCATGAGGAGGAGAAACAAATTATTCCTACCTGACAGACACAGAATGAAACCCAGAAACAAACATCCAGCTTCTGCCAACAACATGGCTGCTGTAGATTTTCTCTTCTAATCAAAAAGTTGATTATGTGAATATAATTTAGTCCTTGCTATGACTTCTGTTAATATCAAAATTTATAAAATATCAGAAATGTGAATAAATGTTCAAATTCATGAGCTGTCTAAGAGGAAAACCTGAATACAGAGCTGATTTCAGCGTGTCTGCAGGACAAACACGTTTTAACACGACCAAAGTCACTTCCTCCTTTATGATAATTTTTTTTTCACAACAGAGCCCTCTAGTGAAGAATGCATGTTTGCAGCAGCTATTGGACTCTTACTTTTGAATTTATAGTGGGGTTTTTTGTGTATTGTCACACTTCTTGTCTTTGTTATTTTTAAAATTTACAAAGCATCCCAATTAAATATGCTACATGACCACATTTCATTACATTTTCATCAAAAAACCCAAAGTTGTTACTATTGGCAGAGTAACAACAATGGTGCGGCATTAATGGTTATTGTGGTGCAGAAAAAGAAACTTACCAGAACCACTAACAGGCGTGATATTTTTATTTTTCAAAATATCATTTCATTTCATTCATCTGTAAATATACTTCAGTAAATGAGCAGTAAAGGTAGTCTATTGCTATATATAATAAATACATGTGTGTTTTTATATATTACTAGTATACTCACCTTTGTAAAGTCTAAATTAAAAAAAATCAGAACAATAAGATTTACTGATAAAGATGCAGTGACTAGCCTATATTAGTATACAGAAATAGAAAAAAGAAGAAAAACGATTAAATTTTTTTTATAACACATCAAATGTCTTCACTGGGTCTATACTTCATCCATGTTTGGACGAGAGAGAGAGAGAGAGAGAGAGAGAGAGAGAGAGAGAGGGGGGGGGGTATTATATGAATGGTAGCAGTGTGAGCCTCTAAAAGCTGTGTGTACTGTTCAGTAATACTTGTACCCTCTTTTACTCTGTTTTATTCATATTTTGTGGGAACCAAAATTTTCATTCATTTTATCTCAAATATCTTTAGCGTTTCTCTGAATTTCAATTTTCTATCACTGCTAAGATGGAGCTGTTTTCAGGTCGTGATTAGGCAGGAATCACCTTTACCTTCAGCTCTGAGAGGATATGCATTCATCGGTGTGATAATCATAAAATAATCACTGTTTGCAAGCATCATACTGAAACAATGAGTTTTACTCTCCTGTCCCAGCAGTGTTCTTGGTTGTTTCTATACTTGTTGCAGTAGTAAATGTTTGCATCACTTTCTCTCACATCCTTGATCACCTGTGTGGGGAAGCCATCAGACACGCCCACGACCCTGGTTTCGTCTGTAGAGAACATACTTGTTGCCCTGCTTGTGCATAGAGTAACATTTCCAGTTGGACTTTGCTTTATCTGACCTTTTAATCCATAGATGTTTTAGATGTTTTTTTGTGTGTCCAGTCATCCCTTTACCAGAAACTTTCATTAGCAGACATCAAAGTTTTTAAATGAAACAAAGAAGTGAACCTTAAAGAACATGTATGCTTTCCTGCTTACATGTTCTAAAAGCATGGCTCTCCTCAACCTTCTCCTCATCCTTCAACTTTATTCAGAAACATTGATGGTACAGCTGTTTTTGTATGCCTAATCACTGTCATGACAACAAGGTAGGTTGTTGTTTTGTAGGTGATGACAGATGGCGTTAAGTTATTATATAAAAATGTCCTTCCTTCTTTAGAAGGAATTCATCTTAGTAAAAGAAGAAGAGGACATAGCGTGACAAGAAAGGAACCTTGGTACTGTATGAGGAGGACAGCAGTGGGACAGAGAGGGTGAGGCTGCTGGAGGACATGTATCAGAACAGTAAAACAGAGGTGAGGTGTGTGGTTGGGGTGAGAGATGGATTCAAACACAGACAAACACACTGTAAGACTTGGCCCTAATGTCTCCTCAAATCGCACACTGAGCACTGGCTCCCCACCGGGCTGTGTGCTGAGCCCCCTCCTGTATTTTCTCTACACCCACCACTGCAGTTCGACCCACAACAACAAACTCATCATCAAGTTTGCTGATGACACCACAGTAGTCAGACTCATCTCAAAGGCAGAGGAGGCAGACTACAGAGAGGAAGTCCTGAAGCTGGCAGCATGGTGTTCAGAGAACAACATGCCAGTGAACACTAAGAAAACCAAAGAGGTCATTGTTGACTTCAGGAGGCACAGCACTGACATGGGGTTGTGGGCGGGTGGGTGTATGGGGGCCAGTGCATCGAGCCACCTGGGGGGCTCTTCAACTGGTGGGGGGGTGTTACACCTTGCAGGAGCTCTCCTCTCTTCAGGAACTCACTCTGCAGGAGGGGGAGATATAGGAGAGGTGGAGGAAGATCTCAGCCTGGGCGTCTATTGTCTTGTGTAGTCTGGAAGATGAGTGGATGACGGGGTGGGTGCAGTTTTCTCTGTGGTGGGGTCAGGTGGGCTGTCCCGGGCTCTGTGGGGCTGGGCGGCGCTGCTGTTCTGGGCCCCGGTCCGGATGGGCCTGGGTCCCCTTTCCCTGGCGGGTTGCGGAGTATGGAGGTGCCTACTGGGTTCAGCGGGGGAGCTGGCCCCGGGGAGGGGTCACTTGCCCCTCCCTTCCTTCCCTCCCCATCTCCAGCTGCCTCCCTCTTCCCGTTCCACCACAACCACCCACACATGCAGGTCCTTGGGGTAAAGGTGTGTCACCAGGGTGCAGGGGAGGCATCCCCCCTCTGTCCCCTTCTGGCTTCTTGTGCCTTAATTTTATCTCACAACTTAGACATTCACATTACTCACACTCTCATTACACATACATATAGGATCTTGGGGGTGGGCACGCTACATGGACTCCAAAAGGCCATCAGGGTGTACACCTCACCCCTGGCGTCGTTGCCCACCTCTCAATGTTAAATACAGACACTGAGGGCTATCAGGAGGGACTACCTGCTGCTCTCTGGCAGGTAGCTCCATGCCCTCCTGGGTTTTAAATGCACCTTAGAACACACATGCATCAACACTACATATGAGTGGGCGGAGGGAGGTTTTGGAGTCTTCTCTCACCCCCATTCTCTGCGACCTGCTGGAGCGGGGGGCCGGGAGGAGGAGTTGGCCATCCGACTGGGGTCTGGAATGTGGGGCCTCCCTGCTGCTGCGGAGTCGGGACGGTCTGCTTCTCGCCACCACAGGGAAAAAGGGTAACACCACCTGGGTCTGGGTGCAGTTCCCCCCTCCAGGGGCAAAGGTACCTAGACCAGGTTCTTAGAGTACGCTTGGGGAGTGTGATCGTGTGTACAGCGTCTCTTTATGTCTGTCTCCACGTTGGTTGAGTGTGGAGTAAGTGCATATGAGAGCATGAGGGTGGGAATGGATGTTTGTATCTGTGTGTGCCTGTTTGTCTGTGTCCATATGTCAGGTCGGGTATCAGACGCCACCTCTCTGGGGACATCTCAGGCCCTCTAAGGTATGGAGGCCTATCACCCACCATCACTTCCCCTGCCAGTGGCAGACGCCCTCAGACATCAGCGCGTTGGTGGTTCTTTGTGTCCGGGGGTGGGCGCCCAGGTACACACCGGCTCACTCCTTGGTGGCTGCTTATCAGGGCCTGGAGCCTGGGGCTCGCTCGGGCCACTTCGGGGGTGGGGTGCCCTCGGCCTCTCGGCCTGGGGTTCAGTCACTCTGGCGCAGCTGGCTGCCGGCGGAGCTCACGGGCACATCACTGCAACCCCCCCTGGCTTCTGCTCCGCAGCTGCTGAGTGAGCCCTCATCTGGGACTCTCCTCAGCTCTTTCTGGGACAGTGGTGCGGCTGCCCCTCTGTTGGTCTTCCTTGGTCTCTTGTGTTCTGGGGGCCTCTGGATGTCTGGAGTCTTGATCTCCTCCATACCTGCTTCATGCCCTGGAGGACGGGGCTGTGGCCCCCCCACACCCTCTAGCAGATCATTACATGAAGGAACCTTTTAAAAACAAACGTGTTCATGCTCACAGGTGTACACACGGGTGCTCACACACACAAACGACACCCTTTTTGGCTCTTACCTCAAAGCACACTGTGCGCTGTTGATATTACGTGCTGCACAATAATGTTTAATATTTAATATTTACTGTTATATTCCCATATGTCATCGTGATGTTGTTTATTGTATTGCTCTCGTTTTCTTCTGCTTGTTTTCTTTTTTCTTTCTCAACAGGCGATCCAGGTGATTGATATATGCATTTTTTTTTGTGTGTCTGCTTATTTAGTTGGTTTTTGGGTTTTTTTTGCCCTTTATCCCCGTCCCTCTTCTCCGCAGTTTTTTCCCCCTCTTCCTTTCTCCCTTTTCTTTTCCTCATTAAAGTCTGTCCCGTAACTAGCAAGTGAAAATTAAAAAAAAAATAAAATAAACAATAAAAGGTGAATCAAATAGACCATTACGGCAAGGCTGGGATGGTCAACTTGGTAAAGTAAATCAGTTGGGCATCTTTCCTCGCCTTTAGACAATAATTCTGATGGCAAAAGAACCAAACAGGACAGGCAAAAAAAAAACAAAACAAAAAAAAAAGGCCCAACGTTGCCTGCACTTCCTGAGGGCCCTCAGGAAGTACAAGCTGAACTCCAACCTGCTGCTGACCCTCTACCACTCGTGCATTGAGAGCCTGCTAACTTACAGCATCACGGTATGGTACGGCAGCTGCACTGAGTTGGATAGACCGAGGCTTCAGAGTGTAGTCATGACAGCACAAAAGATCATCGGCTGCCCTCTCCCCTCCCTGATGGACATTTATTCCTCCCGCTGCCTCAACAGAGCAGCAAACGTCATCAACGACGGCTTCCACCCTGGTTTCAACATGTTCAGCCTGCTTCCCTAAAGGAAGTGCTACAGGTGCATCAGCAAATGTTTGCCAGGGGGCCAGAATTTTCTTTCTAATTGTCATGTCTAGCTTTTCATAAATAATTATCTGAATCCTACAACCAAAGTTTTCATCTGATGTAAAATGTATAAAAATTCATTATTTGATATAGGAACTATTAAGTCAAATTTATAACCTAGCAAGCTGTAGTACCTTTTCCTTTGGGAAGATACCATCTGTGCAGTCTGCAATTTTGTTGAAGAAAGATGTTGAATCTATTTAATTATTGTAGAAAAATTATTGATTTCTGTACATTTTCTTACGCGTGCATTAAATTAAAGTTGACTACGTCAATTAAGCAT